GCCAAGGTAGTGGTGGGACAGGCAACAGGGGGGCAAGTGGTGGATAGGACAGGGAGCAGGGTGCAAGCAGCTTGACCTCCCCGCCATCATGACCTCTCTACTACCTGTCTCCTACCATCTTGGTCACCCCCCTCCCTTACCTGCCAAAGAGCCACTCCTGCTATTTTCTCCACTGCAGAACTTGGGAGGACAATTTTAAGATGATCCTCCAACCCTTAGAGTCTATAAATGGGACATTTATAAATTTGTTATAAATGTCCATGAATAGAATCTAATCATTGGGGAGTTATCTTAAATTCAGGGTCGTCTTGGATTCAGGTAAAAATGGTACATGACTATTGTGCAATGGCTGTTTCTTCTTCCCTCCCTCCCCACTCCCAGCAGTTGACAGGTGTTTACTGTTACAGGCACAACCACCCACCCACCACAAGCAGGAGACTGTAAAGACCCCCCACTCTTGTTCTCCCCAACCTGGTTCTCTTCCCTCCAGTAATTGTAGGGCCCCCTCCCAGGGTCATTAGTGGGGAAGTGAAACTGGGACAGAGGCTTTCTGCTTTCCCACTCCTTCAGACTGTGGTCTCTGAAGCAATAGGTCTTTGGACAGTAGAGTCCCGGTTGAAGCCCCATTGCCCTGCATGGGTTTGGGGGCCATGAGGAGTGGTGCAGTTTGGGATGTCTAGAGGACTGATCAGACATTAGGCACAGAATGCTTTGGGTCTGCACATAACTTTGGACAGGTTCGAGGAGGACTGGCTCAGAATAGTACTTGATTTTTCCAACAGTACACTGGAAGTTCAGACTAGTCCAGAGTGGCCTGCATGTCTAAACTCGTAGGGTTTAAAGTATCTTTAGAATGTTCTAAGCCCCTGAGAGGCACGTAGCCTCGATGTCCAGCTTGGAGGATCTGAGAGGAATAGCTGAGCTCTGAGGGGCTGCACATACTTGAATTTATTTTGCGTTGTTGGCATACATTGTGAAATGAAAAGCTGAGTAGACTTCACTGTCCGGTTCCAGTGGCAGTGCCATGTGAGAAATGGTTACTGACATGAAAAGAGAAAACAAAACCAGGAGAAACACTTTTGTTAGGAAAATTGTAATTCTGGGGTTGCAAGGTACTATTGATGCTTTATTCCGTAATATCCCAGTTACCATTTTTTTGTGTTTTAGCACAAAAAAGCCGCACTATAGAAATGAACTTTTTATTTTAAATTAGGAAGAGATGCATGATTTCTCCTTGTGGAAAATATCTTCCCAGGTCCCAGTCCAAGCATGTGATCTGGAGGAAAGCTGCCCATGGTGGATTTGCCTAGAGGTTTTACCATCAGCCCTTCCTGTGCATGATTACTCAGTAAGCCTTGTCCATAAAACTGTAACTGCCGTTGAGCTGGTCTGTCTAAAGATGGCTTCTCTCTTGAGCCTTACTAAATTACAGTGGGCAGAAATGCCTAAGCTAGAGCTGTTGGTAAAATGAAGGAGGTTCCTGGTGAGAGATTCCCTAGTAGGATCCTGAGACTAAAGCTTTTCTCCTGGTTTGGTTCATAATAAACCAAAATTAATGTTCAGGGCAGGCTGCAAGGCCCACTTTTTCTTTCTCTGACTAGTAGAGTTGGGTGAGATTTGTAATGCAGTTAGAGGGGCCTGTAGTGGTGGTTTTCTGTATGGGGGTTTATCAAGTCTCTTACGTTTGTCTGCTTCTTTCAGTACATAGGATGAATATTTCGGGGAATTAATTAGGTCAGTGGTTTTCAACCTGTGGTATGCCAATCCCTGGAGCTTGCAGACAGTCTAAGTGGTCCACAAAAGACAACTATGATTAATAGAGGTGCACCAATACATGGGTTCCATATCGAATCGGCACTGATGTAAGAAAAATTGAGAGTATTGGCAATCGGCTCTTTTTGGCTGATATTACACATAATGTGGCCAATAAATGTTGTGTGCATGTGTGCATCAGTAGCATTCATGCAGCCAGGAGCTCAGCCAGGCATTGTGGAGACCAGTGTCAGGCTGGTAAGTCCGTTGTGGGGGAAGGGGCATGGGGGGGGCAGATCGAGGTCCCTGCAGTGAGGGAGGGAGTAGGGCTGGGGCAGGTGCTGGCGCTGTCCAGCTGGGGTGGGATGCGGGATGGAGCTGTGAGCGGCTCCTCTGGGGGGTGCAGGGGGGTGGCTCCTGCTGCTGCACACACCACAGGAGGGTATGGAGGGGGTGTGCCCCTGGATCTGTGTGCAGGGCAGGGCGGGCTGGGGCCAGGGTGGTGCCGGGCTCTTCCCAGGTTGGGGCTGGGCTGGGCTGCACTCAGGCCGGGCAGTGGCATTGCTGGGAGGGGGGCTACAGTGGGGTCTAGAACCACCCCAGAATTCATTGTAGACCCCCCACCCCATCCCAGCACCACCACAGCTTGCCCCAAGCGCGGCCTAGCGCAGCCTCTCCACTGGGCAGAGCCTGGTGCCCCCAGCCCCAGATGCTGCCCCGCGTGCAGATCCCTGGGCACACCTGCCCCATGCCCTTCTGGGGTGCGTGCAGCAGTGGGACCCCACCCTGGCAGCACCTGCCCCTGCCTCACTCCCTCCCTCCCTCTTGGAACGGGCCTCAACCTTCCCTCCCCCCACCCCTTCCCCCACAACAGACTTACCAGCCAGATGCTGGTTTCCATGCTGCCTGGCTGCATATCAGAATTGGATATCATTCAGCTGGTATGGTTTGTTAAAAGTTAGCCATTGGTATGGGCCCAAAAAATCTCTATCGGTGCACCCCTAATGATCAATCAAAAATATGTGACTACTGAACTTACAATTCAAAGGGGTCCACACCTCCATTCAAAAATTTTTAGGGGTCCACAAATGAAAAAAGTTGAAAACCACTGAATTAGGTGCATAGTGAAGGAGGCTGCTATCAGTTAAGACACCTGCCTCATTCCCTGCTGCAGTTAGATGGTGTGTAGTGAATGAGGCAGGGGAGTGCAGAAGGAGAAAGAATTGTCTGTCATCAAACAATTGAATGCTGCGTTGGAGAGTTGACTGTGCCATAGAGTTCCTATGGGAGAGTAATCAAGTCACTTTAGCCAGATTGTGCAGAAGTGGTCATTAATCATGTTGCCTCACTTTCTGAATGCATGACTTGAGTCTCTGGAACCTGATTTGAAGGAGGGGAGAACACTTGCAACTGCTACTGAAGTCCTTGGGATCTGTGTTTCAATAATTAGACTATGTCAGAATGCATATAGAAGAAAAGATTCTTTTAATTTCTGGGGAGGAGAGGCCGGGAAGAAAGAGAGAGAGATTCATGCGGAGTATTACTTAAACCCTCTTGTGGGTTTCTTGTGTACTTTTTCCAAGGGCTCTGCTTTGGATTTCTGCTACATCGATAACTATGTTTGACAGCCATAGCAACATAATATTTACAAACTGTCAATGGAGATAGAAGAAACTTGTGAATTTAATTAGTTGTGCCAGTTAAGGTTTTCTCTCTCTATTACATCTCTTAGAGTTATGTTCCTTCTTAATACAAACTATGGTTCAGTTTCATCCAATGCTTAGGAAACTCTCAGTACGACAGAACACCTCCTCGGCAGTGTCTTACCATGAGCACATCAAGCCTGTCCTTTTCTCTCCGCTGACTCCCTACAGAGTTTGGAGTCAAATTCAAGGTTTCAGTCTCTTACCTTCATTTGTCTTATGGCGTGAGTCCGTGATAGCTAAAAGACTACATAAAGCTTCACAGTAAATTGGTGCGGTGGTGCAGTGGGGCCACCCCCGAGGAAGGGGATTGCCTCTCCATTTGGGAACTTCCTTCAGGATCAGTTTGGGGCTGTGGAATGAACTCTTCCCAGAACGAAGTACCGTTACAAATCGCTCAAGTGCAAGACACATTTCTTTGACCGACCCTTCCAAACATATAGCAACATGCATAGTTGTTTAAAGCAAAACAAAAAACCATAGTAAAGCAAGATGTTCCCCTGCAGATGCTTGTATCTGTGGGGAGACGATGAACGAACAAATGGTGTATGACAGATGTTAGTGTTGCTTATTGGACTAGTGGAAGGTGCTCAGATGGAACAGTGGCCAGTCTGGTAAAAGAAAAACTACCTATGTAGAAGAAAACAGACTCTTAAGTCCTAATTAGCTTTTATCATGTAGGGTGAAACAAAATTAAAAAACAAACAAACAAAAACAGATTTGAAGAACTTCTGGGTCAGGTCTTCTCTCATCTGATTTAATTATCTTGTTTCCCTTTTTAAGTTTATTGCAATGTAAAGTAATAAGAGAGGGTTTAATGTCAAGTTCACAGAATGCAGACTGGTTTTAGTTTGTATGGAATATAATCTAGTTGAAATATGCGCACTCATGAATGTGTAAGACATTTTGTAGCTTATCTACTAAAAGTTGAGGTGGTGTTAATAGACATCAGGTGGCTCAGGACAAAAATACAGAATATTACTTTGAAAAAAGCCTATGGCTTCCTTCTCTATTTTCTTGTGCTAATTTATGGTTCAGTTCAGTTGAACCAGTTAACATGCTCACATTTCTGTTCTCACATTTCTGCTCTTTATATAACCAGTGCACACATTTTAAAGGGATCTAAAAAGCAGATAAGTAAGCAGTCCTGAAGCAGTGTGAATGTGAGCTTATGGGTGCATTGTATGCTTTGATTTGTTTTTATTAGCATAGGTTACTCATTCCCCAGCGTCTCTGTCTTGTAACTGGGCACCATCTGCTACTGGAGCCTGGGACAGACCTTCTGCCTCCTATCTCAGATTTTCTGTCTGCCTTTTGTACATGTGAAACTCCTTTGCTTTTATTTATGGTTTCTGAGCTTACTGTAGTGGTTGCTTATCTTTGGTGGTTTGAAACAATGCAGAAGTTGAATTAGTGCAAGAGTTATGAAACAGGACTTGGAAAGTCCTGGTGACAAGATGATTTGAATCAAATAACTTAAGAATCTGATATATAAGAAACTCTTGATTTCTCCAGTAGTTAGAATAGTAGGAGTCTGACAAGAAAAGCGAAACTAAACTTATATTTAAGGTTTCCTATTTTATGTTCAGTTTGAGGCTGAAGATGGAGCAAGATGCATGTGTGTCGACTTCTCAGGGTAAGTTATTTTTTTGAGGTGGGGAAGAAATGCATACTCTTAATATATTGAGAAGAAAACTTCAAAACACTTGGAAAGTGGATTTTGCTTTATGATTTTGTATTTAGTTATTGTCACTTGTTTGTGCAACATAGTGTTAGAAAATGCTTAACTTGAATAATAAAAAGAAATAATTATAATGGTAATAATTCATCGCTACCTTGATGGTTATGGTTCTCTGAGCTTGCCTAAAAACAGCCTCCCTTCTGAAATCTATGGCAGAGTTTAAACACTGAACTGTACTTTAGAAACACGTCCTTTATCCCTGTGCTCTGTACTAATGGATTAGAAACTACATTCCTGCAAAGCTGTCACTCAACCAACAGTCGTAGTTGATTGAACAGAATTTTTTGGCAGCTTGTTTCTCACCCAAATGTTCTTTGAGCTGCTTTCTCCATCTCTTCGTCTAACACTGTAATGCTTCCACTGCAGCAGTTGGAGCAGATGAGCGCTTTTTTTTTTTTTTTTTCCACGAAAGCTAGTTTTGTGCAATCCTGTTCCCTTGAAGACGGAAGTAGAAAGGAATCAAAAGCAGGAATATGTGTTGGTTGTAACTGCAGCGAATACCTTGGCACTCATTGAGGCTGAGTATAAATAAGTATGAGATAGGAAGAGTGTTTAGTCAGACACTGTATGTGTTGCTCAGAAAAATAGTTGGTTACAGTTTGGATTGCTACATTTTGAAATAAAGACTTACAATATTTTTCTAGCAGGGCTCACAAATTGATATGTGGGTGGCAAAGCATCCTGATTAGGATTCTGATTAGGTGTTTTGCTTCATCCCTGAATTGCACCTTAATCCTTACGACTTCATCCTTCTATTTATGGGTTTGTCTCCTTTTTTTGTACAGTCTTCTGACGTTAGATGTCTCTCTCTGAAGAAAAATTAGGAGCCCCCTCTTCCCCCCCCCCCCAATTACTGCCTCCACATCTACTTGCTGGTCTAGCTTCTGTTCTTGCATGCCAACAGGTTTTTAAGTGCCAAAGTTTTAGTAGACTAGTCCAGGGGCAGGCAAAACGCGGCCCAGAGGCTGGATCCAGCCCACCAAATGATTTTTATCTGGTCTGCAGCTGCTCCTCTGAAGGAGACTCGTATCCCCCCTGTAGCTGCCCTGGCTTTCAGTGCCTCTTGCCCTTATGCCTTCTGCATGCTAGCCAGCAGCAGCAGCCACTTCCCTCCCTTTGCCTGCCCTGTCCCACCCCCTCTCCCCCCACAGCCCCAAATGGAAAGCTGCAAGGCAGGGGGCACCGAGCTCCTGGCAGGCTTCTGCCCTGTGAGACTGTCTGTGCTCCGCTCTGACCCAGGCCTCGGAGTCAAACACAGGTAAGGTTCTCCCCACTGGCGGGCGTGGGAGTACAGGAGGAAGAGGGCCAGGAGCTGCTGGTTATCCAGGCTTTGCCCAGCCAGGGCCTGGTAGGGGCTTGGGCACTGGTGCCATGCTGTCTTCCTGTGTACTGCTTTGGGCTGCGCCATGTGGACCCAGCTGGAGCAATTGGCACAGCTCCTGCCCAACCCTGAGTCCCTAATGCACAGCCAGGTTGGGCAGGAGCTGTGGTAGATGCACCCACATGCCCTGAAGCAGTGCACAGGAACAAAGTATGGTACTGGCCCGGCCACATGCCGCGGACTCGGGGTAGGAAAAGAGGGTGCAGGGGGAAGGAGAGAACACAGCGCAGCACTGGCCTGGTTGGGTCCAGATCACCTGCAGCTCCCAGTCCCTTTCTTCCTGTAGCCCCTCCCCTGACCCCAGTGGTGCCACGCTGTATTTCCACACACTGCCTCCGGCCATGTGGGTGCAATTGGCATGTCTTCTGCTTCACCCCACCACGTGCCATGGACTTGTGATAGGAGAGGGCATTCAGGGAGAAGGGGGGCAGGAACCACGGGTCATCCAGGCTGGGCTGGGGTCTACTGTACTCTGGTTTTCCCCATCTCCCTACATGCCTTTCCCCTTCCCAGGTCCATGTTATGTGGCTGGCTGAGGCAAGACCAATGCCAGCAGCAGCCATGTGGCACCCATGAAATCCTTTTAAGGGTACTTCAGGGTGCCTCACAATATTAGCACTGTTAGGTGTGCAAGCACCTACACATGATTCACAAGATAAATCCAGGGATTTTAAATAGGAAACCATAGTGTCAAAAACATGCTGATATATTGTAGTCTTTTTGAGTTCTCTGCTACAGAAGTGCTCTATTATTTTTCCATAGTCAAAATGAGTGACAGCTAAGAGCTGGCACTTTGAGGAGTGCCTGGAGCCTAAAAATGGTTGAAAATCACTGAGCTAGAGGAACAAACTTGGTGAAGAAAGGGGCAGCCTAGTGCCATTCAGCTTTTTACCTTGTCCCTGAAGGTGACAAAGCGATGAAATGGGATTCTTCAAAGCCTCCTTGAGAGCTCCCCCATTAGGTTTCACAGTTACTCAGTTATGCATCAAGGGGGTCAGAAACTGAGCATTTACTACATCTCCATTCTGCATGAATGAGCTATGGACTTGCTATGGCAGTCTGCAGTTATTTTTTCTTCCAAAGAAAAGGACAGCCTTAATCTAATATATGAAACATAAGCCTTGCATTTGCATCCATTTCCTGCCTCCAGACTTCCTTTGCGATCTCAGGGAAATTGTATAATCCTTCTGTGTCCCCATTCCTTATTGGGAAAATTGGGGCAGTAATGATTCCTTTGTCTTGCCCTGTGTCTGCTTTGTACATTCTGATCATAACTGTTTGGCACTAGGACCGTCTCTTACTATGCATATATATATAGCGGCCTTTATTTCAGTTGTGGGTATTAGCATATCCACAGCACCAATGAGTGATCACTGTTGCCTTCCTGATGAATGAATACCTCTTTTTTATCACTTGTCCTTCATCTCTGGAGATTTGGGATACAGGCCCAGATACTGTGCTTACGTCACAGCTCCAGTTCCAAGTCGCAGAGAAGTTTTTTGCCTCAAAGAGGAGAGTGAAGTCTAGAAGGGCACCCAAGGAATATTCTGAGCTAGTGCTTAAACAGAGAAAGCCTCCTCTTCCTCTTCCTCAGTGTCCATTATTTGAAGTATTTTCAAAATACTTAAATGAATAGATCCAAAGTTGTGACAGCTTAATGGTTACGATTAGGGATCTACCCAAATCAAGGAGACAGGCAGCTGATTTTTTGCCAGCATATTGTGGGGCTGACTGCCATTTCCGTGGGCTCATCATGGCAGGGCCCCCATGCCTCTGACCAATGGCCCCAGCCCTGACTGTTGCTTGGTTGAGATGGCTGTCTGTCATGCGGCCCCCACCTTGCAGCTGATTGGCTGAGGGCTGTCTGTCATGCCCCTTGCCTTGCCTCTTCCCATTGGTTGGCAGGGTTGGGCGGACCTCATGACAGGCAGCTCTAATGGCCATTCAGCAGTAAGGGGTGGGGACAGCTGCCATCCTGGCTGTTCCCCGTCATGCCGGCGGTCCCCCTCCCCAGTGTGCTGCCATGAGGACCACTGGCTAATACCAGGGAGCCAGCATTTTATTTTTATTAAGTTTCAACCCTCCCCCCCCATGGATTTCACAGACATTGCGCGATTTTTGCAATTTCCACAAAATCATGAATTGAGTAGGTCCCTTGTTATTAAGAAGACGCTTAAAAAAAATTGGCTTAGTAACTGGCAACATACGTGAACTGCGCCATTCTGCATTCCACCTCAGGTCTCTGCCTATTCTTGCCTGTAGGACAAAATGGTGACTTACATGTAGGTTTTGGCAGGGTTTGGTGCATTTTTAGATAATGGTAACTGCTGGCCCGAAGTCAGCTTACGTTCATCAGAAAGGCCAGGTTTTATTTTTCTGAATTTGTTTTTGGTTCATTTTTATCAGCTTTAGTCATGGGATTAGGAATGAACAATTTAAATCTTATGTCCTTAGAGAAATGGGAGGCTGGCATTTTGGAGTTGTGAATGTGAATATTGCAATAGTACTGAGGAGTGTGGGTTTGGAGAACATTTTTTTAATGTGATAAAATCTTCAGTGTAAACATCTTTCTACGAGTAAGTTGCATTATGGGTGCATGTATGTGTTTTTATTTAATAGCTGTCTTGCAAAAACTAACAGGCAAAGATAAGATGGAAGATAAGTACATGTTCTGAAAAGCTAGTAAATGCAGCATTAAGGTTGAAAACTCAACTTTAGCTCTTATTCCTTACTGCCTGGAAAATAAGGGATCTCTGTATTTCTTAATTACCATTTGGTGCAAGAAGTATTATCCAGATGAAATTCTAACATGTATATAAAAACATTAATTTTCAGTATATAGGTTCAGTACATGTGTTGAAGCCTGATCTTGATGAGAAGCATAAATCCAGCTATATAGATGAAAAATTAGTTTCAGGAAGTTAAATATAAATATTTAAAATTAAATAACCTAGACTCTGAAATGGCAATGGCTTTGAAATAATTCAGTAGTTCTACAGAGAAGCTTTCTAACCTGAAATTTAAAAAAAAAAAAGCCAGTACAGATTCTTATCATGAAGCACTCACAAGTTTGAATAAGTTTTACTTCTTTAGAGAGATGTTGTCCTTTAGAGACCATTAAAATTATTTAACCATTGCTGAATTTTATGTCCGTGCATTTTATCCAAAAAATTATTAGAAGAAGAAATTTATTTCTTACTCAGCTAGGATTCAGAATAGCTAAATGAGTTTTTTGTCTTTCTGTAAGATAGGTTTCTATCAAATACAAGTTACTGGGTTTAATAGAGGAAAAACTGGATTAAATTGCATGGTCTGTGTTTTATAGGAGGTCAGAATTGATGATAATGAATCCTCCTTGCCTTAAAATCTATAAATCATAACTGTTCTCAGACCGAACATGGACAATTTTAGCCCCAGAGAAATATAATTTAGCAATGTATGAGCAACTGAGGAAGGGGGCTTATAATATAATTTTGGAATTCAGCCTTCAAGATTCTTCTACAGTGAGAGCTAT